AGATATTTGTTTAAACCTTCTTAAATCAAACTTTTTATTGGTAATAAGAGAAAAATGAAATGGAAAACTTTAATCCTCTTTTACTGTCAGTTTTGATAGCTTGTTTTTAAGTTTTTAAGATTTATTTACAATTTTATTAATTATTTACTAATATTAAGACATTTTGAAATATGTCCGATGGTTAATCTACTGTCCTCGTAAACAAAAAATCCATCGAATGTTGTTTTACCATCGAATGGATAAACAACTATTTGTCATGTGAGAGTATGGATTTGCATAGATTACGAGTTGTGGAATTTAATACGTTGGTAAGTGAAAAAGAAGGCAAGAAAAAGTACGTCGCAGAACTTGAAGAGCATAAGAAAAAATATAAAAGTAATTTCGATGATAAGGAGTATGAAACAATTGAATCTGAAAATGATAGTAAATGTCTGGATGACAAAATCTGGCCTCAGAAGGCACCACAGAAATTTGTGGGTGACGGGGTAAACATAAAATATCTGGTTGATAAAATAGGACCGCCTGGGACATCAAAGCAATGTCTAGCTAAAGACCACGCTTCCAGGACACCAACGTCCAGAATTTCAAGTTTTATCAAACATAAATCGAAAAGTGAAATCTTCAGTATTCCTTCCAAATGTAAGTCTAACTTCCTGGGAAAAACACATATTCATCATCATCATAGTTTTTGCTCCCCGATGGGGATTGGCAGGATTTCGCATTATTTTGTTAATAACGACAAACCGACCCGGAGTAATCACTTAAAAAATATTTCAAGGGCGTTTTTCACAATGTCTGGATAGCCACTAAGCTGCTGCCAATATAAATTTGAATAATGTATAGAACGTACGTTGTATGGACTAGGCATCTGCCACATAGGTTTATATTATTGGGTACTTAAATATGAAGATGGTGAAACCGACCCTTAGTCACCAAATTACAGTGGTTTATTTGTTATCCTCGAAAAAGTACGCCCCTATGGCAATCTTTTAACTGTTGCTACATATCATTACATGGAACCTTAAGATTCTGAGCTTCTCCTTTAATTTGGGCGATATTGTCAGTTTTTGAGCAAAAAATTTCCAGTTTCTCAAAGGCTTGTCAAAATAATCAACTATTAAATGTAAGTTGCTAACACGACCACGCCGCCACCGTGGACAAGAGTGTCAGACAGTTACTGACTAAAAATCGACTCGTTCCTACTTTTAGTTTGAGCCGCAGCACCGCCAATTCATTAAGTCTTCCGCGGCTCCGTATCGGGCATTAGCTTTACTGGACCTCATTTATTGTGGTCTGATGTCTCTTTGAGGCGCACGCAGAGAGAGTCTGATGTGCAGTATGAGGTCGCGTGTTAACGTGCAGGAGCATCAGATACGAGCGTTTGACCAATGCTGGTTGGAGATGAATGTGGCCCCCTTTCTATCATTGTGTTCAGTTCTTCACGGTACACATGCACTTCTGCAGCAATGCTTACTCCGGTTGGTAAGAAGCTGTGATGAATCACACCGGCGCTAGAGCACCAAACAGTGATTATCACTTTTCTAGGGGTAAGTTTTCGTTTAAGGCATTGTTCAGGTATTGAACCAGGATCCAACCAACTTACTGAGCGTTTGTAGTTATCAAACAGAATCCATTTTTCATCGCGGATAACAATACCGTTCAAAATTCCTTCATTCGTGTGTCTATTGACCAATGCGACGCACGTCTCGACGCGTACTTCGCGCTAGCGATCATTGAGTTCGAGGGGCAATATTGTTTTGACATTCACGTCGAAAGCTGCTTCTAATTTAGCCGTAGATTGTGTATCATTAGCTTCCACAATCGCCTTTAAGTCATCATTGTCGACCAAAGCCTTCAGACAACCACGAGGTCTATTTTTCAGGTCCTTAAGACCTAAAATATTGTAAAGGGCAGTTAGTTGTCTCATACAGCCGTCAACCGTTTTGACGCGGTTGAGTAACAAACATACATACAAACGCACTAACATACAAACTTTCGCATTTGTAATATTAAGTAAGATTATAAGATTATCTTAAAAGTGTGGGAGAGCCATGCTTCGGCATGAATGGGCCGGCTCGAACGGAGTGATACCACGGCCTCACAGAAAACCGACGTGAAGCAATGCTTGCGTTGTGTTTCGTCGTGTAAGTGAGGTTACCGGAGGCCCAATTACCTTTCCCTTCCCCAATCTCCCCAATCCCTGAATCCCCAACGATCTTCAAACTCCTAATCCCCAAAAAGCCGGTGACGCACTTGTAACGCCTCTGGTGTTCCAAGTGTCCATGGGCGACGCCGATTGCTTACCATCAGGTGACCCGTCTGCTCGTTTACCGGCTTATGTATGCCATAAGAAAAAATCTACTAGTTTACAGCTAGTTGTTTTTTTATGAGGTTGTCTGAAATCGGTTAGGACATCGTCAGAAACTGACAATGTTCTAAGATTTATTTGTCTCTTATTATTGCATGCCTTTTTTAAGGGATATTTTTAAACGATTTATTCCCTTAATGTCGATTCCAGTTATGTTGAGCTTGCAATTCTATTGTTCTCCAAAGTATTGCTATTTTATTTTCTATTACCTTTATGTCGAGTTTGGTGAACCACCCCCCGCGGAACGCGACGCGCCAGACGCTCGGGTGGTGGCTTACTCTTGAATTCAATCCCGATCGATCGACATTGGTTTTGCGAAATTTCGTACTCTTGAGTTGCAACACTAGCGCCCATTGCATCCGTATTGCGTGAATATTGAATGAACTAAATGGTATTGAGTTTGGCTTTATATTCCGTACTCTGAATTCTATTTTAACAGCTACAAAAGGGGTTGTATAGTATTGACATTGAATAATTATTGAGATTTTATTGGATTGCAATTGCATTGACATTGAGATTGGTTTCAAGAGTAAGCACCCTGGTCGAGAGGCGAGCCGCCACCGGCTCGCCGTACATATCGCCATACGATATAACGTCGACCTTCACCGATTTGTTAAATGAATAAAACATACTCGATAGGTAATTTAGCCTAATAAAAATTATAAAAAATGGGTTGCCTGATATAATCTTGGCTAGGCTATAGGTAATGGGATAAAAATCTAAAAATGTCATTTTCTCACAATCCACCTTCACTTTTTAAAATACTGTGTTATTAATAAATTTCATGTTAGTTTAATAGGATAAACAAATAAGTGAAATAATTTAATCTTCGCACGTTTATTAAAACCTTCTTCTAAGTTTTTTTCGTCCAATCCATCTTGCTGTGGAATGCGATGCCGACGGATATCAGGACGGCGACCAGTCGTCTGTCCTTCAAATTTAAGGTTTGTGAGTATCTACAGAAGAGGCTAGCAGACTCAACACACACTTAGGTCTTGTACGTATTTACATATATATATATATGTATGTGGGGACACACAGACATGTTAGCATATTAGGAACTTAGCGTCAGTATGTAACCTAGCGTTTAAGGTATGAAATAAACACAGTTGGCATTAGACTCTCGAGCGTATCATTTGTCTCCACACACTACACCTACAATAACAGTGGTGACCCGACTCGACGCGAACGCGTACTGCAGAGACTAAGTATCACATTACGCGTGTTGTGGTGTAACCTATGAACTAAATAGTGAATAAATATCAAACAGTGCTTAAAAACTAAAGAAAGACAATTAACAAATTAAAAAATGAATCCTCCAAACTTACCGTCGACAAATCCAACCCAATTAAAATTAACACCTATGTCTCCTGCCCAACCTGCTACGACAAAACCAGAAGAACCAGAAGCTATAATATCCACATTGACTGTCGCCAGCAAAATTCCAGAATTCTGGCAGGAAAACCCGAGATTATGGTTTATCCAGGTGGAAGCCATACTAACACCTACATCAACAGTGGTAATTATGTATGTATATATGTTATGTTATGTATTTTCCTTCGTATATTTAGGTATATATATGTCCCATACTTATTTGTCTACTGTTCGTTTTGCATTACGTATATATTTTAATACTTCTTCATTATATTTAATTAGTATATATTGAGTGATATGTATAATTATATATAATGTTAATGTTAATGTTAATTATTGTGTCACTCTAATAAGTGTTAAACGTTTACACCTACTATTGTATCTCTCTGCACCACCCTAAGGTTGACTGTTAGAGAATGCCACTAGGCATTAAGTCCGCCGTTGTATATCTACAAAAAGTGTAAATAAATAAATAATAAAAAAAAAACACTTGTCTGAAAACCGCATCAAAATCGTTTAGCCAAACATATATATGTCGGAGAAAATGCACCCATTGGGGGTACTTCGTCATCGGATTCTTCGTAAACGCGGTAAGTTCGGTACGGGCTGGCAGAACAACCGCTCACCCTCGTGTCCAACTCAAAAGTGACGCCTTTCAAAATGCCAACATGCCACGCCCCGTACCGACCATCACCCAAGCACACTGCTTGACGTTTCCGACAAATGATAACAGATGGCGTTGTTCTAAAATAACGATACTCGATAGCTGTGCATCTTTGTTGATTCTGCGACATATACATACAGGTCAAACTGAGAACCTCCTTTTTTTGAAGTCGGTTAAACAGATACGAGCAAATACCTATTTATATCTGGCAACGCATCCAATAAAATATCGTTATGCTAGGAAAAGATTAGGTAAACTCCCGTTTGCATATCTTATGGGCTGTGTACTTACCATTAGTGTTAAATGTTTTTGTTTAAGTTAATGGTGAAATAAAAAAATAATTAAACATAGCCTAGCCAAAATTTTATCAGGCAAGTTATGATTTTTATCATTGCTACATTAAACTAAACTTACATCACATGTTTTTTATCCAGTACCGTCATTATAGGCACAATTAAAGAACAATAGGTGTGCGGACACCGGTGTCCTCGTGGTGTATGACAGTTTAAACAGCTTGGTGAAGCTAGATCTTATATCGTACCTTATACTAGAATTTTCTTGGTCGTCGTCTGTCAAAAAACTAAGGTTAGAGCTATGAGCGCTGACGGTCAGCCGTGAAACTAATCAGACTTATTCGTATAAATATCATACCATCCGATACCTTACATACATTACTACATTTCAAAAAACGTACACCCTATTGATATTAGACGAAAATGGTCATTAGGAAAAAAATTAAAAATGATTAAAGTGCCCAAACTTTTAATCTTTTTCAGGTAAACCGAAAAAACGTGAACTTAAAAAGAATTCTAGTTTTATAGACGTACCCAAACTAAGCCAGGACAAGGCGCATTCGCATAACAAGAAACGAACACTTAATTTGTTCCACAGAAAGTCTAAGGAAGATCCGAAAAAAGAAGATAAACATGTGAAAAAAATAAAGAATGAACAAGTACATTTTTTGTTTGCGCGCGAAACACCAAGTTTTGTCCGACATTGTAGAAAACAGACCGAGGAAGAAAGAAAGAGTTCTAGAAAGAAACAGGATACAAAATTACCGAACGATGTGTTCGGTTTTCAAAAAAGTAATCGACATACTGATCCATATCTCTATCATATGTCCTGCAATTACTTAAATTTAGACAAATTGCCATTTAAAAAAATTACAAAAGGATTTAATCGAAAATGTAAACAAACAACACAGGAAACACCATGTTATTGTAAACATCACGCAATGCGGGTCCTAAATTCCACTGGAAAGAGTGAGATCCCCGCAATTTATTATAATCTAAATACTCATACACGTCCACAGCTCAGAAGACTTCATCATAGACACGATTCCTTTGACAACCATGATGATATTATGACCAAAGACCGATCACGTCGTATGGGCAAAGATAAAATTGTATGTGTTTCACCTTCATCGCTTAGCCCTCTAACTAGATGTCAATGTGACGCGTGTATTGGTTCTAGTACAGGCAATGTCCCCGAAGTTTCAGAGCACCCAAATGGCAATCCGGAACAGTGTACTCCGAGCTCAAGTGTCTCTAGCACGCCCCTCGCACAGAACATACTACATACCACTTGTAAAAAGAAGTGTATCAAGACGAATAAGAAAGTTTGCACCAACAATAAACGTTACAGATTATTTTTAGGGTGTTTTAAACGCTTCAAAGTCACTTTAAAAAAGTTACCGTCAGGGAAAAATTGTTTGAAATATTTGTTTTTCGGACTGCTTATTGTGGTATGGTCTCCATGTCTGCTGGCAGTCATACTGGCATGGGTAATAATGTGTCCTGTGAAAGTAACAAGTTTAAAAGGTGATGCTTCCAAGAGATCAATACCAATGATGAATTATTTTGTGAACAGATTTCGTAAGAAAGAGGTAGGATGTGAATTCCAACGAGCATGTGTAGATGATTCTTTGCCTCAAAGCAAAAGGAGCTTTATGAGATCAGTGGCAAGTTGGTACTCAAGTGCGTTTGGAACTGTTATTAGTTCCTTTCATGCATTGGTGTCTATGCTTAAGCTTAAAAACAAACCAACGTGCGCTGGTTCCTCGTTTCTAGAATACAGACATTCGAACCCGAAAAAGACTTTGTTCTATGCAGACAATAGAGGAGGAATAATGAAACCTACAAGAAGAAGCAATACGCGATTTGGAGCTAGCACTCGAGTAGTGCAAAATATGAGATGTGAATTTATACCGTCATTTTGGCCCAAATCTAACACTTGCAACGAAAAGTGCCGATCGAAGATAAAGTCAATGTATAAACCGTGTCTTGTCCCATGTTCAGTACATGGGACTCAGTACAATCCCAGTTATTCAAGGTGTCAATCGTCACCAGCAGGGGATGCAGGCCCAACGATCAGAAAATCTGTACCCGGATGTACTTGCGATAAATTATATTCACGAAACAGAATCTGTCGAAATAAAATGATGCAAAACTCTTCAGTGTTCATGCCCATGGTACCACAACGTCTTCACACGCACCAGGTAAATATTTCACCGATATTTTTTCCTCCAAATTCCGGTATCGAATACAATTCTGTATATGAAACAGGAATTCAAAATAATTCGGTTAATCGTAATTTTAATGTCAATAATTCACATAAAGATTCTGCTAAAGATCCTTTGAATAATCGGAAATTTGGCACACAGCCTCTTGGAGTTATGTTCAATTGCGCATGTGGAACAAAACATCCTATAATTACAAATATGGAAACATTTAGATCTCAAAAATTTGGTTTAGCAGGTAAAACATTAAATACTTCAACAAAATACACACCCAGTGTTATGTTAAAAGGCTTGAAGGGACAGTTTGCTAAATGCTGGACTAAGCATGAATTAATTAGTGCCGGTAAGACATCTCTTGGTCCTCATAAGATTGCCGGTTCCACAGACATAAACAAATTTAAATCTTCAAAACATACACCAAATCCTCAAACCAGCGATGCACAAGATCGGAACACACAGTGTGAATTCGATTTAAATCGTTCTCGTCGGAGAAATCATAAGCAGATAATTATCGATAATCATTTACACACACACCGAGACGCACATCGCACTCACAATAAATGTCTTCTGGCGAAAATATCGTCAACTGCATCGACTAAGAATGCTTATACAAGTACATATAAAATTAATTTCGCTCATAAAACACAGAATACATTGCAAAAGGTTAATTCTAATGATTCATCAGATAAACTAGATAGCGAGAAGTCTAAAATTGATTGGCCTTGTCCTTGTGCTACTAAAAAAGGAATGGCAAGTGAAGATAGCAGCTCGACTTCTCTAGACAAACAAATCAAATCACCAATAAGGTGTCATTGCGAAGGTATAAAATCAGAAGAAAAGAAAATAAAACCTCATCCAACCGTTAAAACAAATAAAACACGACCTAGCCCAGATAACATTTCTGTTGCTCCCGAGACTGGTCAAAAGAAACAAATCAATGAATCAGTCAAACAGAATATATCCGTGGATTGTGCTTGCAGTCCCAAGCCAAGCAAAGTTGATAAAAATACATCATCCATTAATATTCCTGACACTGCTAATAAACCCACAACGTTTACTCAGGAACCAACAAAAACAGACAAAAACATACAAAAACCCTTGGGTAAGACAGAAAAGGTATCTCAAAAATCTCCCCAGAAAACTAATGATAAAGAAACTAGTGATAAAAAACCTGTATCACCTCAAGACTCTGTTGAATGTGTATGTGATGCTGAATTGAATAAATTAAAGAAATCCAGGGTAAAAGAATGTATTAAAACAAAAACGAAGGAAAATTGCTGTTCAAAGTGTTGTGGTAAACGCATGTCACCGAAAACAACTATCAATTTACCATGCTCACTCGGTTATAAAATAGTTGGAGCACCAAGACAACAACAATGTTCTTGTCACAATACTAGCACTAGTTACACCTCATTTGACAAAGGCATAAAATGTAATTGGCCTGAGAAAACCAAGAAAATTAATTGTGTAGAAGTTCAAACCCCGAAGGTAAACTATAAGGTAAATTCTCATTTATTTTTGGAAACTTGTTCTTTGGACGTTGCAACTGAGGTAATTGGATCAACAATTCCATTGAGTGCCTCCAGAGAGCAGTCCATGAAACACAGAATTGCTGGAACTTTTCCTTACACTCACGATAAACCGCAAAAGGAACTCAGTTTAAGAAATAAATTTTATAAAGCAATACAAACTCAGAGTCCTGTAGTAGCACAATATCCGTCTCCCCGACAAGTAACAGCGATTCAAACAAATTTAGATATTGATCAATATATACAAACAGTAAATAATAGATTAGTAGAATCTCATCAAACATCGTTGTCTCAAAAGATACCAACTGAGATATTTTGGGGCAAACACGAAAATTTCAACAATTTTAGCGCGACATCATTTTATACTACTGTAGCAAATAAAGCAGAAGATACAAGCAAGCGAGAAAAATTACTTAAAAAGCCTGAAATAAAGAAAATACCTTGTGAGTGTTCGCCAGCCGAGCCATCAGTTCGCAAAAAAATACAAACACCATTAAATGACAAACCAGGTCAAACAAAAGTGACTAAAGGAGTATCATCAGCGGCAAAATCGATAGAAATACAATGCCAATGTGAAGGTGGCTCACCTTCAGTATATAATTGCCCAAGTGAACAGCTATTCGCTACTATGAGTCGTAAAAATAGTTTATCTAAAAATGGTTCACCTGTGAAGTCCTCAAATAAACAAATTCTTCTAGGATTAAAATATCCTTTAAACCAAGCAAGAAATTTACAGACACTCGAAGACCAGCCCATCAGTATCGGATCAAACTGTAATTGTGAGTTAACGTCTAGAGAATCGATAGTATCTCATGAGTCAAGTCCAGTAAAAGACCAAACTGTTGACAAGAAAAATCTTTCGTCTCTCATTCAATTCCCTATGACTAGCGCAATGAATGAGGAAACAGAAATAACACAAACAGATTTGTCAAATATATTCGTAGTGTCTTCTGACTGTAGCGAAATCAAATCAAACGTATTTAGCAAAACGAAACATTTTAAATCAGGCGGTCACATTCGTACCAAACGATCTCAAAGTAATGTGATGTCTGCTCATCAGTCTGGTTCTATAATTTACCCTCGTGCAGCTGATATTGATGAACATGCGCAGCAAACTCTTGAATTTGATTTGACATCTGACTGTGTTTGTATGAAGAGCGGACCAATTGCCAAAACGGAAAAGAAAAGTTTTTTGAGTGTATTATCTTCTAAACCAACGATTAGTGCTTATCGAACACAGTCTACCATTACACAAAAAGGTCCACGAGAATTTTTAATATCTTGTGATGGTTCTACAACACGAGTTAAGTTTTCTCAGATACCGTCTAAGGTAGAAACTACAGGTAAATGCAGATTAACAGACAGGTTTAAAAAGAAATCATCTAAAACCAATCAAGTTCCATCTAAAACTCAAAAGCCTAAAGTAAAGCAATCATCGAAAACGCAGACTTCTTCAACTACGAAACCTCCGAAGAAAAAGTCAAGTTCAGATACCAAGACAAGTAAAAAATCGTCTAGTTCAAAAAGTTCAACTTCTTCTAAGAGTGGAGCTAAATCTCAGGACAAAAGTGAATGCAAGTGTGTGAGTAAGGAGATACTGGAAAAGCTATCAAAGGGATCTTTGGTTCACACAGGGTGTACATGCTTATCAAGTACGAAGAAATCTATATTTGGGGATAAGTCACGCTTTAGGTTGTGTGGTAAAAAATCTAAAGCAGCATCGCCAAAGCAGAAGATTGTTGATAAAAAACAAAAATCACCTCCACCCTCACCAAAACAAAAGTCTGTTGATAAAAAATCCGTCGCCAAACAGAAGGTTGATAAAAAACCAACTAAACCCTCACCAACACCATCGAAATCAAAACAAACAACTGCTGAGAAGAAACGCCCAACGCCCTCACCATCACCATCGAAATCTAAACAAAAATCTAGTGAAAAGAAATCCAAAACAAAGCCACCATCGCCATCACCTAAGACATCTAAACAAAAGTCTGTTGATAAAAAACCCGCCTCTAAACGACCATCACCCTCTCCAACACCATCAAAATCAAAACAGAAGTCTGCTGAGAAAAAAAGCCCAACGCCCTCACCATCGCCGTCAAAATCAAAACAAAAATCTAGTGACAAGAAATCCGCAGCAAAACCTGTCGATAAAAAATCTGCAAAAAAACCATCTCCACCACCATCACCATCGAAAAAGAAAGAAAAAGAAAAACCTGTCGACAAAAAATCTGGAAAAAAGTCAACCCCACCACCATCACCAACAAAAAAAAAAGAAAAAGAAAAACCTGTCGATAAAAAATCTGCAAAAAAATCAACTCCACCACCATCACCATCAAAACATAAACATAAGTCTGTCGATAAAAAGCCAAAACCACCTCCATCACCACGAAAATCAAAAGAAAGGTATGTTGATACAGATTACGACTGGACCAAACCTTGTCTTCCATCGCCACCGAAACGAAAAAAGTTTAAACCAACAAAAGAGTGTAGCAAAGAAGCATGTCTATTAGGATCACCGCCACCACCAAAACAAAAGCCTGTTAAAAGACCGAAACGTGGATCGCCCCCACCATCGCCACCACCATCACCACCAGAATCAAAAAGTTCAAGCGATCCTTGTCAATCGTCATCCCCGAAACCAACCAAAACCACCAAACCAACCACCAAACCAACCACCAAACCAACCACCAAACCAACCACCAAACCAACCACCAAACCAACAAACAAACCACAAACAACAATCAAACAACAAACTAGCAAAGAACAAATAAAAGAGTGTGAAACAAAACCTGTGGCAAAAAAGAAATCGCAACCATTTTTCGTACCCTTGCCTGCGGCAGATTTCAGTTTAAGTACTCAACTTGTTATACCATCAGCAACTAAACTAGAATCTGACTCTTCTAGTGTTAGTAGCAAATCTGAAAAAAGTCCTCCTTGCTCTTCTTCAAGCTCTAAAACGTCAATTTGTCCATCTTCCTCAAAGGGACTATCAAAATATAATAGAATAGTGTCGAAGTTCCGTTCTAAGTTGTTAAGTAATACGTTAAGTAAATTAATATCAAAGAGCAAATGTACTACAAAACGTTCAAGTGACTATTGTGACCCGCTCCAGTCAAATATTAGAAATAATCTTTGCTCGGTGATTATATCTGCTTCACAATTTAAATTAGCTTCAAAGCAGAAACCACGAGATAATAGAAATAATTTCTTACAACAATTAATTTCATCTCGATTAGACAGTCAAGCTGAAACGTTTTCATCACATTTAAGTCATACGCAATGTAGTTGCCCAGTCGATGATCCCTGGGTGACAATGACACTTGATGCAAATTCACTAAAGACACATAAATCAAATGTTAGTTCTTCTGGACGTAGCAAGATACCTAAAACAACAAAAAAACCCGCTTTATTAATATACTCTGGTCATAGCATGACGCACAGCAGTTGTTTCTGCCAGGTCAACAGAACTTCTTCAAGGAAAACTACACAAAAGTCTCGTTGCTTACGGAAACCTTTAAGTGTACATAAATCTTATTCATGCTTATCAACACGTAGTTTAGGTCGGCCATCAAAATCTTCTCAACGTTCTTCTTTTGCAACTCCTTTTAGTTCAGAATGTCGTTGTATGGTGAATGATTTATCATCAAGACCTTTTAAGAACCTTTCCTCAAGTAAAAAAACAGCTAGTGGCAAGTCAAGAATTCGAGTTGAGAGTTTAAACGGCCAGGATGTAAATGAACCTATTGCAACTATGAGGTCACATAAAATATTCGAGGTCCCATTTAAAAAAAAAACACAAACCAAATTGCAAAACATTTCATGTCAACAGCATAGAGTAACACAATTTTCATCTATATTTCATCGCTCTCTAGATACATTTTCAGGCCAAAAAATCGTTAGTGATAATATGCAAAGATCATCTGATCATTTAAGTTCGAAGAAAAAGAGTGTTACGACAAAATTTCCGTCAGGAAATTGGACTGAGAGCATGTTTGAAGCTCAATCTAATGTGATTGCACAACGTCAATCAGAATGTGACGAAGAAGATGATGACTCTGAGTTCACGAGATATGTTTTACCTAGACCTTATTATCCTCCTGACGCTTCACACCCCATCGTGCCAATAATTCCAGGTACGTGTAGATGTGCAGCAAAAGAACGATTTAAGCAAGGCGAAGATTTCAGTAATGTTTCAATTATAAGTAAACCTTCACCTCTAAGTAATGTTTCATATAGAATGGAATCTAATAGCTATTTAGGTCCGCAAAATACACTGACACAAACTCCTTCTCGTCCAGATAAGTACAAACAAACGACAGCAAATAATCAAACAGAGTCTTCCGAGCACCATAAACATAGTAATGATAGCAGTGAGCATGGCACGTCTAAAATTCCTTTAATTGATGGTCATCAATCCACTCAATTCACCGAGAATCTTAGAAATGACTCCGATAAAATATCAATGCATTCATGTACACACAAAGAAAAATCATGCTTTTCCCAAACTGCTCAAACGGCACCAATTCATTCAGGTAAATGTGATTGTTGTTCCGGGAAACTACATTGCAAAGTATCCTCAAATTCACAGAAATGTGAAAAAACTACTTGTAGAAAATTATCAGGTCATAAAATATTACCTCAATTACAATGTAATACTTCAAAACAAATATCTTTGAAATGCTCTCCTGACAGAGTAAGGCAGTGTTCAAATTGTCAACATCCTGTTATGTCACAAAATTATAATTGTGATCAAAATAGCCTTTCATCTAAATACACATCACCTCCCCCAGATAAAACTGTTATAGGTACTAACATTCTTGTAAAGTCAAATGTACGTCATCAGTACGCAAAAGCAAAACATGTTCAATCTTCAGGTACACGAGTAGCTTCTCAACAAACTGACTCAACTTTTCAATGTAAAGATAAAAACCTTGCCATCAATTTAGACAAAAATGAGAAATTAATGTCTAATTTATCATTAGCATCTGTTGCTAAGCACAAACTTAAATCTGAACGATCTCACCCAAAAGAAAAAAAATATAACAAATACCAGCAAACGCATAGCTTCCAGGATAAAGCCATTTGTGTTCGACAAATACGCCCAAAAAAACAAATATCTGTTGGCTTACAAAAAAATAAAGGCACCCAATCTCCCGAGAGGACTAATAATAAAATAACGGTGAATTTCCAAAAATCTTATTTGGTTTCGGATGTTTGTTCCACTAAGAAAAAACGGCACACGCGAGTCCACGATAATACACACAGCATAGGTGTACGCAATAACTTATTCGGGAAACAACGAATTATAATTCAACGTTCTGAAATTGTTCAAAACCAGAAAGTTTTGCCAAACGATCAAACACCACTTATTCAGCAATTTGCACCAAACCAAGAAAATCCACCCAATAAACAAAATGTTACAAAAACCGACGGTGAGCTTCCTCAGAAGAAAAAAAGCCCTATAAAGAGCTTAAAGGAAACTCTTTTTCCAAAAAAGTCCGCATTAAAAACTAGTGTTTGTAAATGTCCACCTGGGGAAACATCTGGGCAACAGCCATCAGGAGAAGGACAAAATATATCAGCTGGCGGTGCCCTGCAACCTAACACTGGTAATCAGCAGCCGTATCCAGACTTTAACCGAGTATCAATGCGTTACATTGGTGATAAGCCTTCAGGCCCACCATTACCTACTACGCCACCACCAAATTACGAGCGCTTACCGTGTTATGCTATTCCAGCTAATAAATGTGGACCACGAACTTGTTTCGACGAGTTTGCACTAAGACGTGCATATAAACGTCGTCCATTACGCGTCATTATGGATGACGTTGGTGCTGGCGCTATTACTAGTTTTGGTGCTGGTCCTATCCCTGGTACTAGCCCTGTCCCTGGTCCTGGTACTGTTCCTGGCGCTGGTCCTGTTCCTGGCGCTGGTCCTGTCCCTGGTGCTGGTCCTTTTCCTGATACTGGTCCTTTCCCTGGCACTAGTCCTATTCCCGGCGCTAGTCCTGTTCCCGGCGCTGGTGCTTACTCTAGCGCCCCTGGCGCTAGTCCTCCTCCTGGAGCTAGTCCTGTTCCTGGTGCTGCTCCTTACCCTGGCGCTGGTCTTGCTCCTGGTGCTGCTCCTTACCCTGGCGCTGGTCTTGCTCCTGGTGCTGCTCCTTACCCTGGATCTGGCCCTGTCCCTGGTGCTGTGGCTGGCCCCGGGGCTGGCCCTAGCCCTGACTATGATGCTTATGCTGGCCCTCGTGCTGGCCCTCGTGCTGAACCTGGTTCTCGCGCTGCCCCAAGTCCTCTTCCCCGCCCTGGCGCTGATTACGATACTCGTGCTGCCCCCCGTCCTGGTCCACGCCCTGGCGCTGATTACGATGCTCGTGCTGCCTCCCGTCCTGGTCCTCGCCCTAGTCCTCGCCCTGATTTACGCCCTGGTTACGATGCTCGTGCTGTTCCTCGCACTCCACCCCGCGCTAGCCCTCGTTCTGACCCTCGTTCTGACCGTAAAGTCGTGGCTCGTGCTGATCCTCAGCGTGAATTGGCTCGTGTTGATAGGGAATTACGTAATGTACGGCGTGCAACGCTAAAGCAGTTTCAAGGTCATCAACAAAGAAAGAATAAGAGAATAAGTGTACAGAAGGAGAGAGATAAATATTTATTACCTCCTCCTCCTCCTTCTGAATTTGAACCTAAAGGTAAGGTAGCTAAAGCTAAATACAAATTACGTAAAGCTAAATACGACGCAGTTTATAACTATCGGTGTATTATGGATCAAGCCAAGAATTCTGAGAAGGAAGCATGGCCAAACGAAGTTACCTGTAGACCCATGTACATACATGCCCTGAAGCGCAGGCCTTGTTTCTGGATTCACAAGCGTTGTCCAGATTTTTACCCAATATTCTTAAGTTTAGTTAAATGTCAACAAAGTTGTTGTCAAACTTGCATGTATGGTCTTGCTATATGTTTGTGGTCTCCATGTTTTCTATGTTGTTATGCATGTTTAGGTTTAGTATGCAGATAGCATAATTAAACATATTTACAATCGACTCTGTTACTTTTTTATTTTTACTTAGATTGCATTGACTACAGTTCATCATAGTATTTGGTACTACTACCAATAATTGATGTAGAAATTCAAACATAAAATTCGTATTAGCTTCCCCGTCATCATTTTGTGTGCATCATCCCGTTTATTAGGATTGCAAATATAAACCTAAACGTAACTGTTTGCACAGAACTTTATATTTACCGATTCTATTCAGCAGAGAAAAGAATCATTAGGTAGGTCGACTAGATTTTTTAAACAATAGCCTCGCCTTCTACTATCTGCAAAGGAATAGTAGATACATATTGTTATTAAGTACTTACCTAATAATGTTATTGCATAATACAATAAAATTTTAAAAATTAATATTTCAAATAAGTTTCGTTTGTAGCTATAACAATTAATCGCCGTTATTTGCATAATTAATACCTATTTATTAACGCGAAGAACCACTAAAAGTACACCAAGGACCATCTCCACTAGAATCACCATTAAATGAAAATAAAAGTTTGTCGGTTAAACACAACTAAATGTCCACGAATGACCACAACCATGTGAGTGAGGTTACTGGAGACTCTATCCTTCCTGTCATTCTCAATTCCAATTCCTAATCTCAATCTCGATTCCCAAAAAGGAAGGCTAGCACCGCACTTGTAGCTCTTCTTGGCTATTAGGTGATCCTTCTGCTCAATTGCCACCCTTTGACATAAAAATTGAAACTAAACCATACAAAACTATGCTTAAACGTATAAATGTTAACAAAAAAGTCTTGCAGCATTACCCCTACTGAAACTTAAATGTATCAAACCAAAGGGGGCTACCTTTATCTTAACAATCACCTCTACCTTTACCACCACAATAACTGAAATTGTTTACTTGTAACGCAGTCTGGTAAAAAAATTCAAATGTTGGTTAGGTAGTTCACAAAACATAAGTTAGGTACTCATTTTTTTTTTCAAAAATAAAAATTAGAAACATTCAGTTTCGGATGTTTGTTCCACTTACAAAAACTAAACCATGCGTCGAATTATTCTTATTATACTTAATTACAAAAACTAAACCATGCGTCGAATTATTCTTATTATACTTCATTACAAAAACTAAACCATGCGTCCAATTATTCTTATTATACTTAATTACAAAAACTAAACCATGCGTCGAATTATTCTTATTAGGTATACTTAAATACAAAAAAAAATCACTTAGCAGCAAATTGTATCATATTAAGAAATTCTTCTTAAACAGAAAGTTCACGGAATTGGTAAACGTTTAAAAAGAAAGTTTGACGCACGTTTAATTAGATGAACATCTATCCCCGCCCGCAAAAAATCCTGCACTGTACCTCTAGATAAGTCTTCATTTGTATACTAGCAACAAATTTTTCTAAGTCAACAAATATCACAAAATTCACAGAAACTTGAAATAGGCTTAAAGTATTCAAAAGTTTAAAAAAATATATAGGTAAGACAAATCTATTATAATTTAAAAGAGTCTATTATGAAAATAGAATTCGTGTGAATGTCCTACTGAACAAAACACCTGTAGAAAAACAACCTAATGGATTGTTACAGCGGCGATACTCATCGAGACGGGGACAAAAGAATTCAGCGAGCAGGAACATGCAACTTTATACCCAGTCTGCTAAACAGCAGTTGCCATATCCAGACTTGAACGTAATAACAATGCGCTACACTGGTCACAAAACTCCCAATAAACGATCAGAACCAAATATCCAATACTATTACCCATCTGGAACTACGCCACCACCAAATTTCGATCGCTTACCGTGTTATGCTATTCCAGCTAATAAATGTTCACCGCGGTCATGTTTTGACGAGTGTGCTATCAGGCCTATGTATAAACGTCGTCCGTTGCAAATCGTAACAAACGACGTTGGAACTGGGACTGGATTTGGCCATGGCCTTGGTACTTTTGTCGGTTATAGTAACGGCGCTGGGTACTGCCCGTGCACTGGCCCTGGTCCTAGTACTGGCATTGTTGCTGGCAATCGCACTAGCCTAAGCACCGGGGCTGGCTATGGCGCTGGCCCTAACACCGGTTATACTCATAATCAGGGTCGTTGTCCTTGCCCTTGTTCTGATGTCAGTGCTGGTCCTGATGGTGGTGCTGGCCCTCGCGGTAGTATTGGCTCCCACGGTGGAGCTGGCCGCCAGAGTTTTGCTGGCCGCCACAGTTTTGCTGGCCCTCGCAGTGGGGCTGGTCCCCGGAGTAGTGTTGGTTCCCGCAGTGGGGCTAGTCCCCACGGTAAGGCTGGCCTCCGCGGCAAGGTTGGCCTCCGCGGTAAGGCTGGTCTCCGCGGTAAGGCTGGTCCCCGCGGTGATGCTGGCCCCAGTGACAGTTCTGGCTCCGGCGGTGTTGCTGGTCTTGGCGATGGTGCTGGCCCTGGTGATGGTGCTGGCCCTGGTGATGGTGCTGGCCCTGGTGATGGTGATGGTGGTTCCAGCCCTAGTGTTAGCTTTGCTCCTGGCAGTCTTGTTGTCGCTGGCCCCGGCACTCGCGCGCGCCGTGGCACCCGCGCTCGCCGTGGCACTCGCACTCAGGCTGCTCGTGGTAAAAGCACGCGAGCTGGCAAGGAAATTCGCAATAAAGCTGACGTTAAAGCCGATGTTAGCCCCGACGTAAGCCCGGACGTTAGCCCCGACGTTAGCCCCGACGTTAGCCCCAACGTAAGCTCTGACGTTAGCGCTGATGATGGTGTAGGTGCTGGAGTTGGCCCAAAAGTTCGTAATTCACCGGATAAATCCGCCAGTTCAAAGCGAAAACAGTCTCACAATAAAAAGAAAAGAAGCAGTAATAACAAAGTAATTGCCAAAAATAGGAAAGACAAAAAAATAACTTCACCTCGCCCTTCTTCGCCTCCTCCTCCACCGCCACCTCCTGAGGGTTCTAAAAACAAAGTAGAACAAATCAAATATTTAGTAGCTAAAGCTAAATACGACGCTGTTCGATGTTATCACTGTATGATTGATTCAGTCAGAAAATCTGAAATACGTGCATGGCCATATGAAATTACCTGTAATGACATGTACATTCATATCCTGAAGCGTAGACCGTGTTTCTGTATTTACCGCCTATGTCCATCGTTTTATCCAACATTCTTAAGTTTACTTAAACTTCGACGAAACTTATGCGAAGTACTATTGTATTGTTGCACTATGTGTTTGTGGTGTCCAGTTTTTTTAGTTATCTGTGTATGTTACAGTTTGATTTGCGAAACAACATAATTAAACATGTTTACAATCGATTTTCTTACTTTTTATTTTTATTTGAATGATGTCTTATACTTACTGTAGTTCAAGATAGTTTTCGGTACCACTCCGTAGGTAGGAGTTACACACATTCAAACACTAAACTTATTTGCTTCTTCTTCATCATGACCCACTGCTTCTCTTATCAGTTAAGTTTGTCATTTCTATTTCATTAAGGTACGTAGGTACTTTAGGTATCTACAACAGTTGTCGCGGAGAACCTAACGGGTAACCGGGGCTCCGGCTCGACGTGCACGAGAAGGAACGGGGTGGTTTTTAGTCAGTAAGAGTCTGACACTCCCTCCCGCCTCACCGAGGCGGGAGCAGTCATTCGATGATTTTCCCCCCTTAAAAAAAGGTACCTACAACAGTACTACTGACTTATTTCAAAACCTGTATCGGTACATATGAATACAACTAGGTACCTAATAAAAACTGAAGATCTATTGCAAATATTTGTTTTCATAATAGTTCATATTGTAGGGACAACGGCGATGGCATACATAGTACCTATAAAAATAGGTATGTACAGTCAGCACCAAAAGTCGATGAACAGAATCAACATTACAAAACACCTGTTCACAATAAAATGCCATAAGTTAAAGTCGCAACTAGGAAACAAAATAGCCTGTACACTAGAAATTTACAAAAGTCGTTACACACGACTATTTCAGAAGTATCTGTGCACTAGTATTCCTAAAGTCGCTGAACACCATCAATCTAAATGTTGCTGAACACCATTGTACCAAAAGTCACTAAACAGCAGTAAAGATAAAATTAGGTTAACAAAGCATATTTTTAATGTTGCCGTGTGTTAATATACTTTTGACGCTTGTGTTGTTCAGTTACTTTTAGGACTATGTTTGCTTGACTTTAATAATGCATGTTAACACGTTAGTATCTATTTCAATATCTATTTACAAAATTATGTATATTTTACAGTGGACTATTATTGCCATTTTACATGCATTAATAGTCCATTGCTAAACTGTTCGATAGTGATACAGTTCAATGTTTAGTCTTACTTATACAAATACATAACATCACGCCTTTTATCCCCGAAGCGTTAAGTCAGTAATCATACTAATCTATATTATATATACGCTTACGTCAAAATAATCGCTTTGCTTTGTGACGGTACTTGTAATTTACTTTGTGCGAATCTTACAAAACCTACCTGTACCTACATTCAAGTTCATCCTTATATAACATTAATGCATTAATTGGAAAATTCCAAAAATTCTATGAGTAGCTATAAAAAGTGGCACAAAGACATAACACCAGTGGGAACAGGAAACTGGTTAATTAAACACAATTATTGTGGGGTTCTTTTCTTGCCACTGCTACACTGGTGTGGCAATACTAGCAGTGTCTTACAAACAATAACAATAATAGTCCACTTGTTGGCCGAGTGGTCGCAATACAACTGCCAGGCAATGGGTCTTGAGTTCGATTCCCGGGTCGGGCAAAGTATTACTGAGTTTAAAAAAAATCTCAGTCACGGAGTCTGGAATTGTGCCCGGTATATGGCAATAGGCTCACCCCCTATTACATGGGACTCATAACATAAATAGTGAAAAGTGGATGATACATGATGGCATTAAGTGTCACAATATGCGTCTCTGCTTAACGCTTCGGGGATAAAAGGCGTGATGTTATGTATTTGTATAAGTAAGACTAAACATTGAACTGTATCACTATCGAACAGTTTAGCAATGGACTATTAATGCATGTAAAATGGCAATAATAGTCCACTGTAAAATATACATAATTTTGTAAATAGATATTGAAATAGATACTAACGTGTTAACATGCATTATTAAAGTCAAGCAAACATAGTCCTAAAAGTAACTGAACAACACAAGCGTCAAAAGTATATTAACACACGGCAACATTAAAAATATGCTTTGTTAACCTAATTTTATCTTTACTGCTGTTTAGTGACTTTTGGTACAATGGTGTTCAGCAACATTTAGATTGATGGTGTTCAGCGACTTTAGGAATACTAGTGCACAGATACTTCTGAAATAGTCGTGTGTAACGACTTTTGTGAATTTCTAGTGTACAGGCTATTTTGTTTCCTAGTTGCGACTTTAACTTATGGCATTTTATTGTGAACAGGTGTTTTGTAATGTTGATTCTGTTCATCGACTTTTGGTGCTGACTGTACATGTACAGGTACATGTACAAACAGGTACACCTATAAAAATAGAAGGTAAATAAAAACTAAGCAACAACATACACAACGACGACATTATTATATATCACGTGTTTCTAAAACTATAATATGTTTAGGTATATATTTTCACTTGCTACTCATGCGCTGTATCATTGATCGTAGAATGATGTTTAAATAGCCGTCCTCGATGAATGGACTATCCAACATCAGGGTTAGGTACCAGAAAAGTTGATATATAATACATAGACTCAAGCCTATTTTTTATTTACTAGAATAAATAGTAGGGATGTCATTTGATAGACACTGAACCCAAAATGTGATTAAAAAACTATTGTCTGTCCATCTGTCGCTACGGACTCATGACGCGATTTTCACCCGTCGCGGTGGTAGAATGCAGAGTTATTTTCAAAACTCACGAGGCCACAGTTTTCTGCGGTACCGCAGCCGCCGCGGTTGCGATAATCGCCCGCAAACTTGGCGGTTGATTACCGCAAGACGGTTAAACAATAAGTTGCATTCTAGACCGGTCCTCACATTGCGATCACCCGCCAACCGATACGCGGCTGCGCCCGCCCGTGCAGCGGGAGCCGCAAACAATCGCAAATGTCGCGGGCGTAAAACGCGTCGTGCAATATTTACGCTTTAATTTTTTACATTACATATTCCACAAAGGCTGCAGGGATCGCGACCACGGCGGGCGCGGTAGAAATAATTTCGTGAGTCCTTAGCCTGTATCCCTGTATATAGCCTGTATGTTCACGCATCAAGCAAAAACTACCGGTTCGATTACGATGAAACTTGATTTATTCTGGGCATCACACTGGGTACTTTTTACACTAAAAACAAAGTTAATTGTGCGGCTCGATCCCAACACTGTCTATAAACAGTTACTAAAGGCACGTAGAAGTTTGTCGAATGTTAGGTTGCCCGCTGTAGACCTTATGTGGAAATTAGCTTGAACCGCTTACTTGTTTATTGTTACTCAGTCACTTCAAAACGGCTGAAGGGACTGGGATAAAATTTGGAACAGGAGTAGATTCTGGTCTGCAGTAATACATAGGCTACAGTACCAAGAACGCGGGTGAAGACGCTGACACAAGCTAGTACGTATTTTAATAAGTATATCTAAACTATTTTATTACGGTCATTCCCGGTCATTTCCCAAATTTGTCCCCGTCGGTGACGAGTGGGAATTTTCTTTAAACCACTCGGCCAACGTGGTAGTCATATATGGGTATGACTGCCTCGTTGGCCGAGTGGTCACAAGTGCGACAGCCGGGTAAAGGGTCTCGGGTTCGACTCCCGGGTCGGGCAAAGTGTTACTGGGGTTTTTTTAAAAAAGAACCTCAGTACTAGCTCGGAGTCTGGAAATGTGCCCGTTATATGGCAATTATAGGGACTTATGGCAACCCTGGCGACGAATGGGATTTTTTAAAATAAAATTCTCACCCCTAACAAGAATACCTGTACGTGTGGTAGTAAGAAAATAATATCACGTATATTATTATGGAGTCAATCCGAAAACAGTCAGTTCACGCTGGTTTATTGAACAAGACACTTCTTGGTTAGCTGATAAACTTGGAAAATCTTGTAGGCTGGGGGGGGCGGGGTTACTTGTAATAAGGTAATAAAAAGATGAAGTAAAGTTGGTAGAAGTTGCCCTAAGAGAACACCGAGTTAAAAGTCTAGAAGGGCTTTTACGACCCACTTGACAAACGAGGTAGTCTTTACGGAAACATAAACATATTGTGATGTGCAACTAAATGCGTGACCGAAGCTGGCACCGCTGTGTAAAGTGGAAGTGGAAGTAAATGAAAGTTATAAGATGGTTATATTAGTAGGCTGTTTTTCATATGGGCTAATATTCAGAATGGGTACAATAGATAAATATCTCTACTTTAGTCAAGAAAATCGCCCATCTGGTATAAATTCTAAATGTACATTTTTTAAGAATGGTAACCCAATGGATGCGCTGAGCCTGGCTGGGCACACTATATTGATGTGACAAATTGGTTATATTTTTGACATTGTCAGTGTCAGACTCAGTGACAGGAAATCTAATTTAACTAAGGTTATGTGGTTTTGGTTTTAAAAAGTATTTCTTTGCTTCTAGTTTGTCCAATTGTCCTATTTCATTTTAACTTTACATTTAATAAAATACCTATATAGTTGTGAACTGTTTATTGAACTCATAATCTTTTGTGGTAGGCATCTATCGTTAGTGATTAAATTTGTGGATTTGTTGCAAATATCTAGGTAACAAATTTGTATGACGCTCCATAGTAAATTTTGAACAAGCAATTATTGGTGTCTAAACCATGCAAACCGAAGAGAAACGCCCGAAACAAGCAGTTGATTTGGCTTCTTTAGAGCCCAATACAAGAGTTAAGCAGTTGGCGAACTATGGTGCAATGGTTGACGTAGACCCGAATGTTCCACCGAGGAGGTGAGTTAACTTTATGGATGATGATACGGATGCTTCAAGGCAGTTCTCGAAATCTACTTATAGCAATACAATTATACAATAGAAACTTTGTTACTGGTCATCTTGAAACATGCCTTGAAGTGGTTATTACAGTTGCATTTAGTCATTTAGAGATTTTTGAAAACAATAACAGATGACGAAATATATTCCATAATTACTGAGGAAAAGAATTAATGACATAAAATAAAATAGTAACCTACCACACTTATTAGACCTATGTAGAATCTGATAAACTATTGTTGGTGCGTTTATCATGATTTTTGACAAGACAAACCAAAGTGCAAGATCATTTTCAATATTATAACTTTGGTTTTTAATCGTTTTTAATTATACCATTTAATTAAATTATAAAATATAGGCACCTAATATGTTATAGTGCATGCAATTTTGGGCATTATTTACGGAAATCGACTCGGGTTTTTTCATCCAATAGTTGGATTATGAGTTGTCAGTCGGTAAGGGAAAGTTACAAACCTATACAGGTGTCCCCTAATTATTTATCTAACTAAACCTTATTTTCTTTAAAACAAATGTATTCAGTGAAATTTTACATGGGAAACTTAAATGTAAACTCACCACACTTTAATGATTGATGGTGATAGACGCTCATTGAAAAACAATTCAATTATGTTATAATATGTAGGTACAATATTGCAATTTTTTTTTCTTAACACATGCTAATTGACACTTTATAACTTAAGCAAGGACATTAGTAAGTACTTATTATACTTGTGTTGTTATCTTAGCTCACTAGATAATACAAAATTTATTTAAACCAAAATGTTTTTTTTAACGGAAATCATAATATAAAGTACCTAATTTTACAATTCAATACGCTTGGAGGGCATGCATTTGTTTTGGTTTAGTAATACATCAGTCAATCAGATTATAATAATATTGATATTTAGGTATACTTACTAAATATCAAAATATGGGATATTTGTGATAGTTTGACATATATATTGGATTAGTTTAATTGTGAATTATATCTATCTTTATCAATAAAAATTATTTTCGGTTCGTTAGTCTCGCTAAATCGCCTTGAAATGTTCATGAAGGCTAAGGAAGGTATAAAAGAAGAAAAAGAATTTGGCAGTATGAAGTTTGCCGTGTTAGCTCGTAATGAAATGCTTGTAATGCTTTGTTTACTATGAACTTCATGCTGTTATTTTTATATATGTGTATATATGTATACTTATGTTTTACATAAACATAACAGATTATTAAAAAGTATATGTTTTTAAAGGCTAGTTCTTCAAATCAGACAAATAAATCTAAACCTAAATTTTCTTCTAGATCAGAAAAAGTTGACAGGTATAATGATTATTCTGATAGTATATCACTCTTTCAAGACCGGGAAAAGATCAATAATACACTAAATGTCTGTTATTCATCCAAATTTATTTTATCACCTTCAAAGTATGCTCCTTTAGAAACGATACATTTGCATATAATCCATTCATCACAACATTTTTTAAATGCTGCTTCCGGAATTGAATTCAGTTCTCGCCGCGAATTCTCCTTTATGTCTTCTATCGATTGTAAACGGGTGCCACGAAGTGGTAGTTTGAGCTTAGGAAAAGGAAAAAGAAAAAAGTCAGCAGGAGCCATATCTGATGAATATGGTGGTATTTGTTGAGTGTTTGGTCAAAAATTCGTTCACAATGATAGCCTTGTGCGAAGGCGCATTGTCGTGGTGCAAAATCCAAGAATTTTTTTTCCACAAATTGGCCTTTTTCGTCGAATTTGCTCTTTTAAACGCCGCATAACGCTCAAATAATATTCTTTATTTACCGTTAGAACTTCCGGTAAGAATTCAGAGTGTGAGTAAGTCAAAGAAAACAGTCAATATGACTTTGACTTTTGTTCGACTTTGGCGTGGTTTTTTCGGTTTCGGTTCAGTTGGAAGGCGCCACTCCGAAGCTTGTTGACTAGTTTGCATGTGAAACTCGTAAACCCACGTCTCGTCATCAACTGATGACGCATTGTTACTACAATGCGTTTTATGAATGTTTTGGACCGAACTGACTCGTGCTAGCATGTCCTCAGCGACTTTCTAAACTCAATCGCATGATTAAGTTTTTGGAGAAAATTCAGATCTTTTGGGACTAGCCGAGCAGCCACATGTTTCATACCCAAATAATTAGTTAAAATGGTACGGATCGACTCGTGAGATACAGAAAGTTCGACATCTCGACCGCTTTTGAACGCTTTGAACCATTCATAAGCACGAGTCCCGATACTTTTTTGACTGAATGTATGTTCATTAAAGTATATCCATCCTTCGGACACATAAATAGTGATTATGACAGTCCATCAAGTATAATAAGTAGTTGCCTAATAAAAATAATTATAGAAGTTTTTTGTTTTGTTACAATTTAGTGCTGATTTTTCAATGAATAGATAATCTTATCTGTATAATAAAATTGACATTTGACAGTTTTTAGTATACATAGATGACGAAAATTTATCCTCTGATAAAATTTATCTGGCATTGGAAAAACCAGCAAAAAATTATTTCATATCCCTATTGTGCATGTAACTAAACTTTTTCAGGTATTACCGATCAGGCTTAGAAATGGTCAGAATGGCAAATGTTTATTTAACGGAAGGTAGTCTTGAAAATGCGTACATTCTGTATATAAAATTCATGACATTATTTCTGGAGAAGATACGCAAGCACCCTGAATATGCAGCGGTGCCACCCTCCGTGAAGGCTGTAAATCAGGCCAAACTAAAAGAAGTCATGCCGAAAGCTGAAAAACTGAAACAAAAGCTGCTTGATCAATATGCTAAAGAACATGTTCTCTATCAGGAAGAGGTAGATATTATTTAGATGTTGAAGTTTTGATAAAATTGATTAGTCCTGTGATTAAAGGCTAACATTTTATATTATATAAAATTATTTATGTAATATTCTTCATGATCTAAAATGTGATGTTTTGATATTAGGAAAAGAAGCGTGCAGCGGCAGAAGAAGAACGGAAAAAACAAGAACGAGAAGATGCAAAACTGGCTGAACGCCTTCAAGCTGATGAGAACAAAAAGGATGCACACACAACTACACCACACCTGATGCATGCTGTACGTATCACTTGAAAAATTGCAGACTTTGCAAAAAAAATTGTTTAATAATGATGTCTTACGGCTAATTCACGTACTGTTTCACACAAGGTAACGTGACTAGTTTCAAGCCACTGTAGGGGTTCATAATCCACTGTGTACTACTTTGAGTAATCCGTAGAACATAATTGATCAACTATACTATACGAAGCGAGCCAGCAGCGCAAATAGCACCACCACTGTCGTGACCTGTAGGTCCTATAGGCACCTATGTCTCACAAGAGGTTTACAAATGAGTTTGTATAAAAGTGAATAAAAAGAAATAGACAACAGTTGAGTTCACCCTCACATTTACATTAAATTCATAAAGTCACACCCTCTGTTCACCAGTCGAAATGAGGGTGTTACATGTAACGTGTGCAATGAAATAAGACTGCATAAAAACACTTTAAACAAACAGTGAAAATAAAAATATAGTTCGATTTAAGGGATTTTAACTCTCTATAAAGAGATTAGAGCAATAGTTCGAGTCATGCTATCAATAAGAATTGGTACAGATCACACCATGATGTGCGATGACGTCTGACTGCGACAATTGTAACATGCGTCATAGATAGCATAGTAATCTTAACTATACTTGATTTCGGTTACCCCAGATAAACCCGTGATTCAGCGGGTGATTAGATATGTTTATGTGTTATATTTGGTGAAATTGCTTGTATTGGTATATTATTAAATACAAAGTTGTCGTGTCAAGTGGCTAGTGTTTGCTTGTTTTAAATTATTTTCTTGTGAACACTGCATGATGATGTTGAGTAGTGTAGACTACATGTTAGGCATTACGCAGGAACAATGGGCGGTGTCGCCATCGGTGCCCACGATGGATGGCGTGCGCTACCCAGATGACTTTGCCAACGAGCCGCCGAGAGCGCCGTCGCATCATTACCAGCCCGTGCCGCCGCTCATCCCACCCTCACGACCACAAGCGTAAGTATTTCATTGCCAAGTGTTACGTTACTTATATATAACATAAGATCTAAATATACGGACGAATAAATACTTATATAACGGATAATAGGTGAACCCAGTTCACCTTTTTGGATAAATACTAAGTTAAAACAAATTTGCTTTGCTCAATATCCATTTGAGTGTTTATCGGAAAAATCAGCCACGTATAATTGTGTGACAATAGTGTATATGATTGTTCGTGCAGTGGCAGTGCGAGCGTGGAGACGTTGTTCGGCGCGGCGCGGCTGCGCACGGTGCTGGTGCCGGCCGCGCTGCTGGCTCGCTTCCTGCGCCTCGCCGCCTCCAACACCGCGCGCAACGTCGAGACCTGCGGCATCCTCGCCGGCATACTGGTGAGACACATGCCTTCTTATAACCTAGTACTGGATGTTCTAACTGTAACTAGCCATCTAGGTCTAGCAACGGCGTACTCTTTATTAAAGCGCTTTTATTAGGGCGACCTGTAACGAACTATGTAATAAAATCTAAGAATGTGAATTACACATAATTTAGGGGTTTTGTGTCATTATGGAACTTGGCAATTATATGTACTTTTTAATAAAGTATAATTCACATACATAGTAATGTTTGACATTATAGGAGCGCGACCAGCTGAAGATAACACACGTGATAGTGCCCAAGCAGACGGGCACGCCAGACTCGTGCAGCACCAACAATGAGGAGGAGATCTTCCACTACCAAGACCAACAGAATCTCATCACTTTAGGGTGGATCCATGTGAGTTTACACTTAAATCTTGCTAATATTATAAATGAGAAAGTTTGTGTGTTTGTTTGTTTTTATGTTTCTTACTCAATCACTATAAACGGCTGAAGGGATAGAGATGAAATTTGGAACAGGACTAGATTATGGTCTGGAATAACGCATAGACTACTTTTTATCTACTGGGAAAGCGGGCGAAGCTGTTGGCAAAAGCTAGTTGTAACATATTTGTGGCCCATTGGGTCCAGATATCGCATTACTTATATCGGAATCGATGTAGGTACACCGCTTTACATCAAGTAATACAGTTATACAAAGCCAGTTCATTATGGTCTCGCGTGTTTTCATCTTTTCACAGATTTAACGGTCAGTTAATACTGGTTTGCATAGTTTGATGTATATAATATATGTATATTTTATATACAAGTATGTATATATACAATGTACATTATTTGTACATAGGTTTAGACATGCCTCGGGTCGACCAAAAATGAATGTTAAGATTTTTATAAATAAACTAGCTACTGGCCGCGACTTCGTATGCGCAATCCCGTTCCCGCAGGATTTTCCTTCTCCTAATAGTAACAAATACAACAAAAAAGAATTAGTGAAATCGGTCCGCCATTCACCCGTGATGCCGTGACCAAAGGGAAAAGGGATTAATTATTATACGTATATGTAAGTACTGCATTGCTTTCGGAAACTAATAAGTAATCATTTTAATCTACTTCCAAAAGGATGACTGCTCAATTCAGGTGTTTTAATTAAACAACAACATACACTTCGTTTACTAGCCTGAGTCATATCAATTGACCATGAGTACTAGGAGTGTTTTATCAATGTTTTCAAACGAATATTAATTATAAACATTCTCATATGTGTATGAATCATTCGCTATCTTCATATCAACCTATCACTTGAAAGTGTTCGCTGTAGACAAGATAAAAGGCCTAGTTCAACAAGTTATTGATATTATGGATATTGATATTGTTCTTATCTTTATGTAAGAGAACAGTTGGCAAATGTATATTCAAGTTATCATCATCATCAGATACCTAGATTGTTTTTTTGACAAATAAAGTTAAAAATGTACTAGGCTGATTTGCTATAAATAATAAATAGCGAAACTGGCGCCTGATCGCTTACCTTCAGGTGATTCGCCTCCTCGTATACCTTATAATTCATAAGTTAAATAAGAAAAAGACTGCAGATTTGTGGGGTAATTCTGTGTACATTGTCAGCTCGGTTATAGCTATTATAGCACCTCTATTAGCTCTAATTTTTAATAATTGTATCGACCGTGGTGTGTTTCCTGATCTTATGAAAAATAGTAAAGTAACACCGTTATTTAAATCAGGTAGTACTTCTGACCCCACTAACTTTAGACCTATTTCAATACTACCTTCATTTAGTAAAATTTTTGAAAAAATTATTCTTAATCAAATGCAAAGATTTTTTAATAGAAATAAATTGTTACATGCTAACCAGTTTGGTTTTACCAGGGGTCGTTCAACAACTGATGCCGGTGTTGAACTTCTTAATCACGTATATGACGCTTGGGAGGACTCAAGCGATGCTTTGGGCATTTTTTGTGACTTATCCAAGGCGTTCGATTGTGTCCTTCATGATACATTGATCAGGAAGCTATCCCATTATGGAATAAGAGGTAAATCTCTGGATCTTCTTACCTCATACTTGAGTAACAGGATTCAGAGAGTCGAGATAAACGGAAAAGTCTCCGCCGGGTCTGTTGTCAGGATGGGGGTTCCGCAGGGGTCAATTCTCGGCCCTTTTTTGTTTCTTATATATATAAATGACTTACCTTACCTCGTACGGGATAACCACGGGATAGTACTGTTTGCGGATGATACTTCGTTATTATTTAAACTTAAACGTAGACAATTAGTCATTGATAATGTGAACAATGCTCTCTCGGAAATAGTACGCTGGTTTAGTGCCAACAACCTATTACTAAATGGAACTAAAACTAAATGCATTAAATTTACAACACCAAATGTTGGACATGTTAAAACCAGCGTGCTCATTAAGGGTGAGGAGTTGAGCCCTGTAGATTCTGCTGTCTTTTTAGGTATAACCCTAGACGCTAAGCTCCAGTGGGCTCCACATATAGATAAGTTATCGAAAAGGCTCAGTTCTGCAGCATATGCCGTTAAAAAAATTAGAAAGTTAACCGATGTAGATACAGCGCGATTAGTATACTTTAGTTATTTTCATAGTGTCATGTCATATGGTATTCTCCTATGGGGGAATGCTGCTGACATTCAATCTATCTTTGTTCTGCAGAAGAGGGCCATTCGATCAATTTATAATCTTAGTCCGAGGTACTCTCTCAGGGAACTATTTAAAGAAATTAATATAATGACCGTTGCCTCTCAATACATTTATGAAAATGTAGTATATGCTCATAAAAACAAAAATTTATTTAAAAAGCATAGTGATATACATAATATCAACACGAGAAATAAAGACAAATATGTTGTTCCCACTACTAGACTAAAGAAAATAAGTGGTTCGTTTAGATGTCAGAGTATACGCTTTTACAATAAAATTCCCAGCCATATCCAAAATCTGAGTCTAAATAAATTTAAAAATGCCATTAAAGATAAATTTTATAGTAAAGCTTTTTATAAAATTAAAGACTACCTAGATGATAGTCTGGCTTGGGAATAAGCTGCTGTAACGTCCACACGGGTCATGTTGACATGTTTGTAACATATAGTTACATTTCTTGACATTGTTTTTCATACATTGTTCTAACTTGACATTTGCTTTTTCCTTTACAATTGTTAGTGCTAGGACCGTGCGAGACTTTGCCTCACCATTTCTTTTCTAATTACCCATATTCTGACAGTTTGAGTATTTGTGCGACCCACGCAAATGTTCTTTAGGTTGGTATTGTTCGTCGAATCAGTCAGCCTCACCTGTTAATTGAGCCGACTGTAAACCGACACATGCGTACTGCCTTCAGAACTGGTCCGCTCAAACTGTTGTGGTTCTTTCCTCAAAAGGCCACTACAGAAAGAACTTGCACGGTTCTCACACATAATCTTTTATACATATTGTCTGGACTATAAAAGAGACAGACCTCTGAGTTTGTTTCGGCATTTCTTCTCAGAGTAGTCAGTTAGGAAATGTCGACCTCATCGTTCGCTTGATAAAAATGACGTGTAAAAGTGCTGCCTTGTAGCCTATTTGCAGAAATAAATTCACTTGTTTCACTTGTTTCACTTAAGTAAATGTAACAAAAGCTTTTCTGAAAACCGAATCAAAATTGGTCCAGCCCATCACGACGTAATCGCTTATAAAATTACATACATTACATACCTTCTTTTTTTAAATCGGTAAAAAAGATATTATGGTATTGTTATAGACTCACCCGACACAGACGGCGTTCCTGTCGTCAGTGGACCTCCACACGCAGTGCTCCTACCAGCTCATGATGCCAGAGGCCATCGCTATCGTATGCGCTCCTAAATACAACGAGTAAGTTACAATTTATAGGTTAACTAGCTTTTACCCATGATCTCCTAATATAAACCTTCTTCTTGAATCACTATCTGTTAAAAAATCGCATCAAAATCTGTTGCGTACTTTTTAAGATCTAAGCATACATAGAGACAGGCAGCGCAAAGCAACATTGTTTTAGCGACTAATTAAATCATCCATAAAGTTTTAAATTATTGTAATAAATTGTTCCAGGACTGGTTATTTCGCATTGACACCGGACTATGGGATGCAGTTCATCACCAACTGTAGGCTGACCGGTTTTCATCCACACCCTGACGATCCACCTCTGTTCCATGTAAGTCATAGTTTTTATTGAATTTACCAAGGTTCCTCTGAGTCAATACAAAAGTCGTGTCATACTACATAATCATTTGTATGTAACGCCTGAATACTGAAAGGCTGCTCAATAGGAATGATGACAGGGTATGAAAATTAAAAATCTAATTACACCATCAATTAGGTAATGAAAAAATATTAGACACGTATTTTTTTATTTTGTTGTATAATAAAATTATACTTAGATATAAACGAATCAAAGTTTAGGAGTGGGGGCTAAAGTGTCATTTCTACCTATAAAATGTACATAGAAGTGACGTCACGCGACATTTCAAATCAATGTATCGTCGAAAGTATTCGTTTCTGTAAAAAAATAAAAAATACGTGTGTAATGTTTTAAAATAATCTACCAGACGGACATTAAAATAAAAATTAGTCTTCTACCCTATTGTAAGTTGTACTAAAATATCGTGCCATCTCTGTCATTTTGCAAAGAATTTGTAGTGAGCAGAACTATACTTAAGCGCGACTTAAAATTGAGAAGCCTTTGAGTAGTTCGATATTAGTCAGGCATTTTTAACTGATTACTCTAGTGTGAAGACAATAATCAATTTAGTAGACGACTAATAAAATTGTAATATTTCAGACGGTAACACATATAAAGGTGGACGACTCCGCGCCCGTCGAGATCGTTGACCTCAGGAGATGAAGTCAATCATTCAATTAACACATACACTCTTCCATCAAAGCTTGCGTTCACTCATAGAATTTTGACCAGCCTTAATAACCTACATATTGAAAGATTATTTTGAGAAAAAATATGATCACGAAACTATTCAAGGATACTCGACTAATTTCAAGCGATACTCGGGGCTCATAACACAAAATTTTGTGATTTTCTCACTAGTAACCAAATCTACTGACATAGATTATGAAGACTGGTCGTTAGTTAGCTTTATTATATCTGAAACTAATGCTGTTCCATACCAAGTATTATTGGAATAATTATAGTGATTTTCGTATAGAGTTGTATTAGACACGGAGTATGTAATAACTGGAGGGTTCATTACTGTATGATGTGACATGTTAATAAGGTTGCCTTCTTTATTGGTAAAATGTAATATTTGGCGATTTGACATAATTTTGTCAGTTACACAGTCTATTCAGTGTATACCCGCGCCCCGCTTACATAGAAACTTTTTCAGATTAGTTACTTTTAAAAAAAGGAACATTATCTAATCTGATTAAAAGTGAATCACTCTATTAAAGTGAAATAAAAAGATGTGTTTGAAGGCTAACTTGCTGCGGATATTTAAGCCTTTTTGTATAACAAGAATGACAGGTATGTGTGTTATAATATAAAGAAACTAGACTTGATAGCAAAGAAACGGAGCCTCTAGCGGCTTTTCTTTTTAATTTCTTGATAAATATTTTATGATACATATATTTTATTAATTTGTAACGTACCTTTAAAATGAGAGCATTTGTTGTAACTTGTACTATTGGGTTTTAAAAAAAATCTCAGTAGTCGGAGTCTGTACTTGTACCCGGTATATGGCAATAAGCTAGCCCTATTACATGGGACTCATAACATGAATAGTTAAAAGTGGGTGTTACATTGTACAGTGGCATTTAGTGCAGTAATGGCACCTCTGACTACGTTGTTGTATGTTGTAAAATATTTTTTAAAGTTAAAGAAAGTTCGATGAAATGAAAAAAGGCGATAGTGGCGCCGTTTGTTTGCTGCCAAGTGTAGTTTTTTGTTACATTTCCATCACGTTTCACTAGGTTAGTTACTTAGTATATAGGTAAGCACAGTGTGGACATTATTTACCTTATAGGCCAATGTGATATAGTTACTATTATAAAAAAACTTCGTAGATGCTTTAAAATATAATTGTTATGTAAAACATGAATGTTTCTCGTTAAGATTTTATTTACGCGTAATTATATTGAATAATTACATTTGTTGAAGCACAAGAGTTAATGTTAATATGTTTTTATACTTACTTAATGTATTTTTCATTATCTTACTTTGTCTAGTATGCTATATTGATATCATACTACACAAAGACACAAACACTCATATGTGTATTACTAAATGTGCCTGCTTCGTTTGCACGGTTGTTCAAATATAACGTACCTTATTCTGGTCAATGATTAAATCGCTTCACTATAGATAGTGTTACAAATTAGACTCTGGTTAGACTAGACACCTATAAATCAATAAGTACTGTAACTTATAAATATTACAATTAAAAACTATATGTATTTGTATACTATAGAATAGTACAAGATGGATAGATCAAGTAAAATTCAGTGTTTTAATTTAACGCACCAGCTTCGTGTTTCGTGTTCAATGATTCTATATAAATATTACAAAGAAATTATAAATAATAAGAACTAAGAATATTAAATATATGCCAGTGAAGGGCATGAATCGAATTTTGCAAAGTTTACAGTTGTCCTGGAAAATTATAACTTGTGAATGTATGTGCGTAGAAAGGAATAAGTTCTATAGAGATTTTAGAAACCTCGCTTCCTCGTGTATGTTCCAAATTACTGTGGCTTAGTGCTTCTATTCTATTGATCTTTATAATTCTCATACATTCAGACTAGTCTAACTCGAGCATTTATGATGAACTAACACTATTACATATATTTATTGTGTGATATATCATACGCAGCCTGAAGACTGAAGCTTAATGTTTATATAAAATAGATATAATATATTTATTATATATACTTTCTATATTAACCATCTTGTTTGAAAAATATTCGCTTTTAATTTTTAATCTGTAATCTCAAATTTCTAAGTTTTATTTTTTTTATGTACAAATCATTATTTAATTATCTCAAAGGCTATGAGACCTTTGAAAATATTTTGACAGATTACGAATTGTGTAAATATGTATGTGTGTAAGAAAATATAAAGTTTATTTTATTGTATCTGTGTACAAGGTGTAATGGAAAACTGATATTTATGAGGTTGATATACTTGTCTACAAATAATTGAACAATTTTTCCTAATTCAACGCATTTATTTCGAATAATCCATATATAGAAACAGAATTGTCCGCTGGATGACTATGAAATGTCATTTAGAATTATCTAATATGCGCACTCCATCCTACAATAATCTGTGTACCTCTAAAATATTTAAGAAGTTCCATTACACACTGTATAAGGTTATTTATGGCATTTGTTTGTGTGAGTGCACCATTCATTGTAACATTATTTCAGCACATGTGTATCAATGTTTCAGTGATGTTGTTCGTGCCATTTTGTGTATTAAGTCTATGTATTGCATATTGCACTTGAATATGTAATTGCTTTGAAGAATTATAATAACAATCTCATTACTATACGTTATAATGTTGATAAAGTAGAGAGATATGGAAATCGTTATTATTTGTACCAATAAATATAATCTTTATATTTAAACTCGGACTGACTTTAATTATATTATAGACTGAATATTGGTATAAATAATTATAAATTTTCGTATTAGTTTGTTTATGGATAGAGTGCAGGTAGGTTCATGAAATGCGAGTCGGATTTGTCTTTAGTTTTTTATTATCAGTAATATTCAGTCAAATGGTAATTTACACTTTGGAATCAAAAATGTAGTATTTATTAGTAAATGAGCTTATAATTATAAATGATGAACGATGACTTATTCTTTTATCATTATTATGTAATTAATTGTGTCTATAATGACGGTACTCAAAGGGTTATTTATTTAATTATTATATTATAATAATACATTATAAACGTAAACGTGGATCCACGCGAGACACAATGTATTCCTATTGTGTCTCATATCGGTGCATTCAAGCGTTAACCAACAGTGCTGAGGACACTTCTTAACTCGCTTTTGTCGAATCTAAATGCATTCTACCTATAAAAATTTTTAAATGGAAGTGTATATCAATGTTAAAGATCAAATACTAAAGCGATGTTAGTAAATAAATGTGCAATAATGTCATCTAGGAAATAAGTGCAGTCTTATGTATGTGTGATTTAACTAACACGGACCAATCTGAATAAAACGTTTATTAAATTCATTACATGTTTTATTAATTGCATAATTTTAGTACATAATGTAGATATGCGTCGTTGGCAGTGAAGCAAAACTATACGTACGTACATATTTTCACACACACCTAAGTAACGTTAGGAATAAGGTTTTATTAGGCGATAATATTTGTAGCAGCAGCGACGTTAATTTCAACGTTCTTGGTTGGCGGTGAAAAGTACTTTATTTTGGCGTAAAAGTTAAATGTTGCTGTTGGATTCGGTATTTCCTAGGTTAGGGCTTTTCTGCTTTTATTCCAAATTATTTTATCATAAAACAGTGTTTCTTTATCTGTCGCCTAATAAACACACAAACACATTAACAATTGTAATTAGAGGTAGAATATTAATAAGTAAGTGTTAATTCTATACGAAGTGCACACGACACAGGAACATTTGCTTCTTTCATTAATTAGATACATTATCATATTATATTTTTTCGTCAAGACGACACAACACCTACTGTTTACACAAAAATGAAACTTATTTACATTTAAATAGTACTTAAACTTACTTACTAAATTACACAGCATTTTTACAGACTACGGTTCAATAAGGCACTCTGTGCTAGATTAATTTAATATTAAATTAAGTACTAAATACTTTTACAAATAAATAAATAAAGGAAAGCTAACCATAAGGTGAGGTCAATGCTTTGACTTTGTCCCCTTACGAAAAATTAATAGCAACTATTTTTCGGCATCTACTGACTGCTTTCCATGATTGTGATGACACTAACGCCATTATTAAAACTTCAGCGCAAATTAATAGCTAGACATAGTAATCCAGTGCCTACTGTGTCTAGCTATGCTATACACTGGGCAAATAAACCTCAGTAGTTTTGTTTTAAAATCAGTTCTGTAAGTAGGTAATTGGGATGATGACAGGGTATGAAAATTAAAAATGTAATTAGTCCGTAAGTTAGGTAATGAAAAGATATTACCTCTAGACACGTATTTTTTATTTTGTCGTATAATAAAACAATACTTAGATAAAACGAATCAATGTTTAGGAGTGGGGGCTACAACGTCATTAATTTCTATGTATAAAATGTATGTACATAGAAGCGACGTCACGTGACATTTCAAATCAATATAATAATATCGTCTGAAGTATTCGTTTCTGTAAGAAAATAAAAAATACGTATCTAATGATTTAAAATAATCTCCCAGACCGACATTAACATAAAAATTAGGCATCCACCCTATTGTCTAAGGACCTGCTAATCTACCTACTTAGTGAAATAAAACATAATTTGTACAATGTTCATTCAAACTAACTACATTGTGGGACTAGTATATCGTGCGCGCTAATTCTAAGGCACAGGAATCTCCACCGGCTTCACAATACATGAATATAATTTTGTGTTAATGCTCAGAATCAACATAGTTATCTAAGTTCACAAACACCTACATGGACGTCGACAGCCGGTAGCAAGAACACAAATATGTTTGTGTTAAGGAAATTGGCTGTATATGAGGGATTACAAAAAGAAATCTATTTTGGTTAGAGTTGGAATTTGCAGTAGGTATTGCTGGATTTTCTAGCCTATTAGGGCAAACCCCAGTTGAAAACTACTCTATGTTCGAAAATTATTAGCATTTCATCAAAATATGTTGCAGCCATTTCAGCCTAGGGTCGCTCCCCCAATTTTCTTTAAAAAAAATGTCTTTGCTGGTGTTCTACACAGAGAGAATAAACATCTAGATTCAATAAGCCATATGCAGGTACATACCTATTTAAAAAAATCCAAGCGGACTAGGAGAATATCAATGCTTAGCTACCCCAATGTTGAATATTGTATAATTACTATGCATAATTGGTGAAAATGCTGTAGGTACCCAGAGTCGACGTCTGTGTCCACATAACCAAGCATACTAAAATATTACAAACACGTAGAATTCCAACATTGCTAACATTGCGTAAGTAGGCACCATCTCGGATATGACTTTCGTACACACAAAGGCACTATAAATATAACAACTTAATAATTTTAAAATATGACTATAAATTGCTATCTATCAGCATCAGCTGTTTCCTCTAAGTATTATAACAATTTTCTAAAATATCCTAAGTATTAAAGTACAAACATTGATATAAGATGAAAATTTTAGAAGATTAGATAAAATTATCTGGATACGTAATTAGTATTAAAGGTTACATAGTTACATGATTATATCCAGCTCGTATAAAGATAATTATTTTATTACACAAAATAAAGTAACACGAAAGATAATAGTAGTACAGAGATTGTTGCACTATTCTCAGTAGAGCTACTGACTAGTTTCTTGGCTTTAGAGGGCAGCTCGATGGGGACAGTCTTGTTCATCATCCAGTATAAGACATCGGTGAGGCCCCGGGACTTCAGTTCCGGTCCTACTTCTCTTCTTATCCTATCATTGTAGTCATTCAACCATAAAATCTGGAAATAAAAGGTCATGATTTACGAAAATAATGGCCAAATGTAATTGGATAAATAGGCAATTTAATACTTTTTTCGAACTCAATAGTTTTAAAAATTAAGTTGGTCATAAAATCTATTAATGGAAATGTGATCATTTTTTAATATTTTATTGTATTGAACAGTTGAAATAATATATTTTGACTAAGGAAAGTACCCAATTGAAAAAAGTCAATGAAATGATGACGATGCGTATGAGTAATTTGAGCATTCGTCTCTTGGTCTCACCTCGTACTCAGTAAGCATACTCCTGTCTATTAACTTTGGCTCGTACGGCAAGAGAGTGGCCTCGTGGAATCCTAAGTAGCCGTTCGGCCTCAACACCACTTCCAGAACATTTCCTAAACGCACTCCATATTTGCCAATTTCATACCATCCTGGTTCTGTGAATGAAATAAAATAATATATAAGTATCGTGTAACTATTTACTTTATTTAAAAATAATTGTGCTAACTTCTGCTTACCGGCTGTAATAAAATACCCTTCCCTCAGTGTATGAAGATTTGTGTCTTGTCTGTAGTCAATAACTACTGGATCTGGAGAACATCAGAGCAAAAAAACTTTAAACATTGTTCTAAGTAATACTAGATCAGCAATCACCTCAACCTCAAGGGAGTCCACAGACGCGTTTTGATGCGTGGTAAGGGTGTGCTACTTTATATACATATAATTCCAATAATGAATATTAGTTTTAAATATTAAGATGTTAAAAAATAAGCCTGTTATTACAGACCTTCTTTGCGACACAGGGCAGCGCCTACTCCGTGTCCAGTAAGATGAGGATAATCCTGTTTAGCAGCCCAAAGTGGAGCTCGAGCTACAGGGTCGACGTGCGCCGCGGGCAAGGTGGACGGGATGCGTAACCCTGCTAACGCTGCTAAGGATCGCATCACCGTGGTATATACCCGTCTTTCTTCGCGTGTTGGCATCCCATAGTGCACTGTACGAGTCACTATTGTTGTCCCCTCTGTGTAGAAATCACAAAGTAATGTTAATTTTAGTAAGAATGAAATAACGAATGAACGAGAGTGCGAGGGTAGACCATAAATAAACTGCATTGTTTGGTATTTTTGAGTACCAATTTGGTTCTAGTTCCAGGCTAGGCAATTATTTGACAAAAATGGCTGTAAAAGAAAGAAGTACTAGTTTACAATTAAATTACCATCGTACTGTCCACCGGACTGTATAACCAGCGTGGCATTCTTGGTGATAAGTTTGTTGGAGGCGTTCGTCGCTCGGTAATCGGGATCCGCGGCGTTTATACCGAAAGCCACGCGTGTTTTCATAGCAGGTCCAATGTACCCAGCCTGCGTATCTCGGGTTATGTCCACCGTGCGCTCCACTGATATTTCACTTAGTGCTGATTTACTCTAGAGTAGCAGAAAAGAAAGGGATAATATTATATTTTCATATGGTTCAAGTTGGTATAGACTTAATTAAAACAGTTCGTCACCTCAAGATAGCTAAATAAAGTGCACATGGCAACTGCATCCCACAAGTGAGCTTTTTTCATTCCCTTTACTTCTGCCTCGTTCTTCTGAGCCTTGAGGTATATGATAGGGGAGAGCAGGAACATTCGCTTGGCAGGTGGAACGCTCTGCGCTATAGCAGCAGACGCACCGCGCTGGAAAGTACCCGCTGCAGGAATCAGGATCTTGGAATCTGGTACCCGCCGCAGTTCTGAGTATATGCTGGTATACTCATTTACCCTTTTAGAAATTAGCTAATTAGATTATTCAATCATTAATTTGAACAAATTAAGAGAAATATTATTGAAGGTATTACTTGGTGCAGTTGTTGGCAAAACAGTTATACAGGAGCGCGTCCCGTACATGTACGGACAGTTTTCCTGGTGGCACGAACACCTTGACTTCGCGCAGGGTGATATACACGAAGGCTTTCAGCAATCTAGCAAAAGGCAGGTCCCTTCCTCGCACGTTTAATAACCAAGCTACTTCATCTAGAGCCGTCACGATCATGGCATCGGCTCCCACTGCGTGCAGCTCACTTCGAACCAGGGCCACTTTGTCGCGCCAACTGACGCCTGAAAAATAAAGTAATTGCCATAATATTTTCTTGTTAGTCCATAAAGCATTTTAATAATTTTAATAATAATTTGGCTAGATTTACTAACCAGCGTGCTCTATTTCATAATTTTTGGCGACAGTTTTGGGGAAGTCGGGTCGAGTGCGGTCTGGGTCAGGCTCTTCGTTCCAAAGCTGGTCAACCAGTGTTGGAATATGTACTAGTTGCAGCCCCTCACGCTGTAGGGCTGTGGACAAAACTTGCCACTCGCCCATCGACGTCAGGCGAGCGTCACCCCCCACACGACCACTGCGAGATAACCGCTCCTGTGATAGAAGGCAATGTCACAGTAAAAAATAAGTAGACAAGTTTAATTACATACTTTCATAATTATGTCTACTGCCTAAAACAACAACTTGAGTCCAAAGATAGTATGTGTGACTAGTGGTAAATAATATGTGTATGACAACAGACACATTGCGTACCATCGAATCTTTTTAATTTTCAGTAGGGATAGGTAGAGGCGCACATTAATTAACGTAAACCCCATGTTAATACCAGGCTGTGATTTTTGCAAAGCAGTCACGATAAATATTAAAGTACATTACAGAAACAACTTACAGAAATCCATTCGGCTATAGTTGGCTGACTAGGATCGTCACCATCGATGACAAGCCATGCGCAAGTAAGCGTGGCCCTTGCGCGCCGTACGTCGCCAGACGGCACCCATATGGCAGCGCCGCCGTCTGCCAATACGGCACCGGTTCCGGACCCGTCCCACCCACTGACGTATTCTAATCGTCGTTCCGATTTGTGAGGCTCCTCGCTCTAAACCACAAGAATTTGTACATTTAAGGAACGTTATGTCATTCTTTTCATGTTAGTTTATGAAGGTTATTTGGTATTATAATACAGGTACAATCTCAAAGAAAATTGCTAACTGAAAAATATAATCGACATATTTATTTCGCTGGCGTCAATTAAATTTATTGTGTTTGTTTTTATTTAGCAGAATTGGTAAATACTTATAAATATTATTTTTATATTAATTTTGACATCTTACCAAATGCTCATCAGTAAAGAATATAAGAAAAGCATCAAAGAACGCGTTCATTTGGGTATAAGCGGAGTTTCTCATAGCGCTACGTAGCCTTCCTAACGGGTTGTTGACATCAATAGCGTCCGCACAGACGGGAGGAACCGGCTGCGTTGGTTGTTCCTGCAGGATGGTGAGCGGCACTGGTGACATCGATGGCGTCAGTGACATCGTCGTCGTTGTAGGAGGCATCTGCGCTGACAAACGCGCGCCATCACATACTGAAAGTAAATGATTAAACGTTTAGTAATTGATTCTAGATGTTCAATAACAAATATTTATTAATTACTATTTTGGTACTAATTAATAACATTTATTCAAAACGCACTATAACTTTTATGTTATTCTGGACACTTGTCTGGAATCAGAAAATGAGAGTAAGTAGGTACCTTTTTCTGTGGTAGTACCATTATCATAATCCAGACAATGTTATGAGAATGAGAGATAAAATATTAATATTGTTGTCCCTTTCTCGATGCACGATAACTAAAAAAGTTCACCAGAAGGAGAAAGCGGCTAGCGACAGTGGTGTTTGTAGCGCGGGAATGTACCAGGGCATCATGCGAACCGAGGAGATCGAAGAGACATAAAGCTTTCCAAAAGCTCACGCGTGCGACAAGGATGGCAATGGGACCGACAATCCACCCTCCCGTTTCAACACTGTTCCCCGAACGCGGGATCCTTTTATTGTTAGGGGCGTGTCTTGTACTCAACCTTCATTCTATAGCTACATACAACAATATAACGCTCACTGCTAACTACAGAAGGAAAAAATTGTCAGGATGTCAAAAAATTTACAAGTATCTTTCTAAACATTTTTGTTTATGATGTTACTAACACAAATCTTAAAACAACTGACTGCTTACATACATTATTGTATGTTGTATGTAGGTGACCTCATTTAACTCGATTGATATCTGATTTAATAATAAATTAAATATTACATTAAATCAAATATTATTATTAATTTTGCTTTTTTTGGCAAGAAAAGTATTGTAATAACGTGGTGTTCAAGGTCAACGTTCGGGAGGTAGAGGTACCCAGGGGATGTGGATTCTATTGGAATGACGTCAACAACTAACAGGATTTCATAAGGTATGAAGACGTATTTCGTCCTTTCCCTTTCATTCAACGTTTGGGGGTGGAGATGATGTGGGTGATAAAATGAAGTAGGTACGTAATTTGTTACGCCGAAATGGCTGAAATGACGTCTGTAAATGCCAGGGTCGCATGATTTGGAAGAGGCTGAAAAGATAGGCTATTTTGTGTTTCGCTAAAAGTAAATTACCAAACAAACATTATGTCCTACATGATATATCTATAATAAAAATATATAACTTATATAGTTATATAAGTATTTATTTATACATAATATAAATCCTAGTGTACTAAACGAATGTAACTTAAAACGAGAAGGATAATGAGAAACGTCATAAAACATATTTAGATATGTCTGTAAACTACATTAATAACAACTGTACTTATGCATACAAGCTGATTTTATACCCAAAACAAAAAAAAAATACAATAAAAGAAACAAAAATAACATCAATCAATAAAGGAATCCAAAAAAAAAGAGAAAAATATATGTAGTAGAATAAAGTTCATATTTCTGAGCACTTAATAAAACTGATTGTTTTTTAGATAACAAGTCGCCTTTTCAAAATATATATTGCTTACGTATCCTCCTGTCCCTTAAGTATGGCCTGTCGTATTCCCAAAGGGACGAAATATCCTGCGAGATACTAGGCTGGCATAAGATATAAGAGCCGTAAGATTGTAACATTGTCCTGTTCAAGGATACTCAAGGATAAAAGGCAACGACCCTCGACGACCGTGGCGGCGCGCAGTGCAAGCGACTGCAGCGGCCATTCACTCGACATGTTACAATACCTTCGCGTTAGTGAATAAGTAACGCAGTACATTGGTAATGATAATGTGTGCGTCATTCTCACTGAGCTATAAGATAGTTCTGCTTATAACAACAAGATCTACGATTGGAAAATCAAGTAATTTTCTAAATGATACTCGCTCACTTGGTCTGTGGCGGTGAAAAAAAACTATTTAATATGAAGCAATGTTCCGATAGAAAAAGTTGCGATTACTAAGTAGAGTAGCTACGTACAATAACAATTATGATACTCAGTAGCAACTATTGTATTATTGAAAAATTATCTTTACACCTTCTTTTCTTCATTGATACCGGAGATACGATCGAAATTCTCCCGAAATGAAAAACAAACAAGTTATTACGAACGAGTTTCCCATCTTTTTTACTAAGGTAGCATGACCACAAAGACGTAGTTTCACGAAAAGTTTTTCTTGTGTACATGGCGTGAAAACAGGAAATCTGGAGAATAAATTATTCATTTGATAATTACTAAATTAAATTATAAATTATTATAAAAAGCGTACAATGTACAAAAGCACCAATATTATTTGAATAAACTTTAATAAACAATGGTAATCAAAGAATATCAAACTGACATTCTGCGTAGCAAGCAGCATCAGATTATATTTCCATCCAACTAACTAATCTGGTAAATTCTAAAAAAAATGCGTGTGCGTAAGAACAATGGTTTGCCCCCTTTTTATACCAGGATAATATAGGTTGCCAAGAGTTGTTGGATTCCGAAAGGACCGCCATGACATCGTGTGGGGTGTTGTGTAGGCGGGATCCACAGGCAACAGCCTATACAAAAGGGACACGTCGGGGTGTGCGTGAATCGCTCGTGTGTACGAAAAAAGGAAAGTATAAAATTTATGTATGTCTGCGTAGTTAGCTTTCATAAGTTGACGACTCAAAGGACCAATTTATTTTACAAATGATAGAATGTTACTGTTATGATTTACGGATTTTAGTAATCCATTTTTAATAGAAACAATAACTATGTTTGAATTTGTTTGTTTCGATAAATGAATGAACCATTTATTCTCATTTCTCAATAACGATTAAAACAACGACTGCTAAATCTTAATTATTATACCGAATCCTTTGACAGTAATCCAAGACGATTAATACTCGGAAAGTATTTTTATTAGCACGTCTTATGACGTCAATTTCCACTAGGTTATCATAACTCTATAGGAGTTCTTTCCACTTCCCGAAGGTAAAGAAACTACGAATGACGGGAGCAGTACGCACTGTCTGTTTCGTACACATCGCTACGTCATGTGACGTCAGCAGCGTCATAATAAAATGATATTCATGAATGATTACGACACACAACACTGTATCGACTATCGTATATACCAAACTCAGTACACATTTGTCCATTTTAATGGATACGAATATAAGATATGAATATGTCACAATTATTCAAACTATTACGTATGTATAAAATATTTAATTTAAATAATAACAGTACGCTTCAATACAGTACACGAGTACTCGAAACTATTTTACAATGGGTCGTGTGTCGTGTTCCACGTAACCCGTTCGCATTGGACGTCGAACATTTACTAGGAGCACCTAACTCGTCAGAAGGTGGATGATATTCGGTTTGAGTAATAGGTGCTTATTGCACACGAGAAGGTATATAATAAAACGTCACAAATATTGTGTGTCTAACTCAACATTCTGTTATGTTTTCCCCGTAACTTAAAGCCGGTATTGCTGCAACTGAAATAAAAAACAACATGTAACTAGAAAATGCATATTTTTGCATTCTTCCTTCTTTGTCTAAACTATAGGTACTTTGTATAGGGAATGCTGGACCAGTGTTAATCAAAATGTAAAGCGAGTATGTACATACGACCGTATGGACGTACTATGTATGTCTCGTTATAAAAGTAGCTTAGTCGTATGTAACAACATTTTTGTTCTTTACTTTTTTTTTGCCAAATCTCAGTTGATTTTCATCAAAAATTTCAAAGCACCTACCATACAATTATACTGTCTCTGTACCACTCAAGATGACAGAAAATGTTTCAGGTCTATTTAGATAACGTTTTGTTCATGAAGTATTAAAATAACAAGAAAAAATTACATAAAAATGCGTAGATATCAGACATAAGCAATCAGGACACCATACAGTCAAGAAGATAATATGTTTGTCAGGTATTTATTTATGTTCACACACATTAATATGTAGGTACTTAATTTATTCTGGTAGGTAGGTTTTAAAAGTATGTACTTAAATATGTACGAAACGTATATGAGAGTGAATCAATTTATATAAGGTAGGTTACGTTTATGTGCCTGATTCACCAAAGTAAACCAATTACTGACACACTGAGTTGCAATAATAATTAGGACTATTATTCAATAACATTAAAATTAAAAGAGTAACCTTTGTAAATTACGCTTGCCTTTTTGAAGAAAAATCCAACTGCCTAGAAATGGGATAACGTGAATACAGATTGTGTGCATGTCACAAGTTTACATTTCTTTTTTGGTACAAGTTAATTGTGTTTACGCTGACATACAAGAGTAAAAATATGATCTGTGTGTAGCACACAAGCCTGACGCCAATGCATACAGATATAACACGATGAGAGGAACAGAGACCGAGTTTGCGAAACACACTATATAAGCCCTCCGTAGTAGCTATGCTGGTCTCTTTCTCTCCGCGCGTTTTCCAACTGCTACGACTATCGTCGGTTGGAGGAAAACGGAGGGAGGCGCGTATGCAGTCAGATAGCTGAGCAGTTTGTTGTGCCGACTGGTAAAGTAGTGAAGGGCAATGCACCTCTGTCGCGTACTGCGAGCCTGGTGCAATAGTCGCTGTTGACGCATGTCACCGCGTCATGGGGCGTGTGCGACGGCGCGGACTGCCTGCTCTGTTTCTGTGTTGTGGTAGTGAAGACAGCCACATTTGCATTGTTTGTACTATACACCAACATGTCAAACAAACGTGTCTGTAGTAGAAACGTGTGCGTCTTTACATGTGTGCGACGCATGTACGTTGGTTAAATTTTATTTTATTGAAATTAATTCAAAATAACATTTATTTTCAGGCCTTGTCCATGTTCATATTAAATAACTCAAACATGCCTTTCCTTTCATTTAAATTATTCTAATATTTTACATGTCTATTATCTACACACACGAAAACTAAATAACATACTGTCACGAAAGGTAATCCAAATAAATATGTAGAGTCGGTAATGTGTGGGTCACGTTATCACGTACGATATGACCACATGTCGGAAAGGGTTGCACATGTGGGCTATAAGTACCAGGAGCGCAGAGCAAGGGTGGAGGTCGAAATCACATGTG